AAAAAAAAAAAAAAAAGAGATGTAATTTAAATTTTAATGGTCTGACCTTCCCTAAACTACCCGTCAGCCTACTTTCTCAGGTACCTTTCCTGCAATAGTCTAAATTAGCGAGAGCTTTGCAGTAATATCTGGAAATAGGGTGTTACATGTATTTATTCAAGGCAGGAAGTAGTAGACTTTAATTCTAATTTGATGACCTGTACGCTTCCTTGGTAAGAAAGAGACCACAAAGGGCTGGTGTTCTACTTTCTGGTTTTAGGCAGAAAACATTATCCATTAGGCAGAAAACAGTATCCAAAAATACAAGGCTATTTCATGGATGACTCCTGCAAAAGTCATCCTTAGTTAAGTCCCAGTACAGTAACTCAGAATTATCATTAAAATAAGTAGATGGGAAAAAATATCTGGAAAAAAGCTGAGAAAAGTATGTTGCCTAAGTATACAAGGGGGAAAAAAGGCACCTGAAAAAATTCAGGACAAGGAAAACATTGTTTTTACAGGAGAAAGTACGCATTCGGTCATAGATAAGCTATCTTTCCAAAGCAGGAAAGATTTTCAGTTGAAGAAAATTGACAACTTTGCCTCTAGGAGGAATTTTATAGTATTCACAAGTAACAGCTGTGTTTATGATGGCTGTACATTGCCCTGAACAAATTCAAGATTAAATATAAGATTGGTGTTCTCAGGCAATTACTAACAAAATGAACATTTCTTTTACTCTTTTTTGGAGCTTCAGGCCTCATGTTCTCAGAACTTGTTTTTAAAAATGGAAGTAGATGTGACCTGGTAAGGGGGGACATGCTCATGGCTAAATTTCGGCCATAGATAACATTAGATTCAACTGGAGAAAAAAACCCTACCGACTCAATGCCAGAGCTCTGCTTCAACCCAGGTAAACCAAAAGGCGGGGCCCAGACATCTTGGCTGTTACTTAGTTTTTTGATCATATGAGTGGGGCTCTAACCTGCAGCCAGCTTTGAGCAGCGCTAGCTACCCCAGTCCCATCCCTGTGCAATGAATTCGTTCCTGGGGAGGACTACCTGAGGGGCTACCTGGGAGACTACCTGGGGGGCCTTCCTGGGGGGCCGCCTCTGCTGCTCCTGGGCCAGCAGCCACACATCTGCGTTGGTACTTCCTGTCCTGTCTTCCTCTGGAGTTTCACGCTGCTTGGTCTCACAGTTGGAGCATCAGTGAAGCTACCGTTGCCAAGCCCTCACGGCGTGCAGTGTAGAATGGCCAGGCCAAGCCCTCACGGCGTGCGGTGTAGAATGGCCAGGCCACACAGTGGAAATGTGGAACGTTGCAGCAGGCAGCTGGGGAGTTGGATGCCAAACTGGGGCAAAGAGGGAAGAGCCCTCGGCTCCCATGAGGTGGCTTTTAGCAAATGACGGTCTACTTGGAAGGGAAGTTCTGCTGGTGACGCTGGCAAGTTACTTGACGTCTCTGTGCCTCAGTTCCTTCACCTGTGTGGGGATGGGGATGATATTAATACTAACCTGCAAGGGCGCTGCATGCATTAAATGTGGGAAACATGCGTGCCTGCTGCACTGTATGGGTCCGACACACGGCGGTTATTACATCCTTGAATTCATAACCAGGTGAGGCAGAGTTCCCGTGGAGCTGGCAAATACACTCAAACAGGGAGGACATCAGGACGGGTTTCTCTTCAAAGCTAACACACTCCAATAGAGTTTAGAGGGGAAGTTGAGCTATGGTACTCTCCTTGGCGTGTTTGCCAGCTTCTCTCTCCCAAGGTGACCCTTAATCCAGCCCATCCATTTGGAGGTGTAAACACCAAGAGAGTTCTGGCAAGAGTCCCTTTCAACCTCGTGCATCTAAGACTCTTGGGGAATGATGGAAACGAGGGGACCAACTGGGTAGCTGGAGAGAAACAAATGCCTCTCTAATTGACTAGTTAACACATATGTTAATTAATTCAGCAAACATTTAATGGTCAGCCTGTGCCAGATGTCGTGCAGGGAAGAGAAGACGTGGTCCCTGCTGCAGGTAGCTCACCATCCAGCAGGTTCCCAGGAAGTGATGGGGTTCTGTGAAGCTGGATTTTAAGGCACAGAGCAAAGCGATGAAGACGTGTTTTGGCTCCCCCTGTCTTCAGCGCTGGGAGTTGCCCTTCCCACTTTATCCCAAGCCTTTTGGATTGAAGTAATGTGCAGGGAGACCGTGAATATATTGGATTCATTTATCCTCTTAAGGGATCTTACTTTTTCAGGAAGGGCAGGTGGGCAATTTATGTATTTCTTTGGTGGAAATATGCTTCTTACCAACACAAAAAGTAAGGGAAGCACTCACAAGGAGCTGGGAGTAGTTACAGCCAAGGACAGCCTATTGGCCTCTGCCTTTGGAAGAAACGTGAATGTTTATCTCCTGACATTTCAGGCTTATCTCTTCTTAGACTGATGTGAATCCACCAAATGTGAAGTGCAGGTGGTGTTTTTCGTTTTTTTTTTTTTTTTTCTTTTTGGAAGTTTCCTAGAGAAGGCTTACAAGGTTGTTTTTGCTTGCTTTGTTTTAAAGTTTCACTAAATTCTTAGAAACTTCTGGAATGCTTAAAAATTACTTTAAAAATCTAACCCATTTTAGATTAGACTAAGTGTGGAGCTGAGTTTTACAGAAAAGAAGTTTGTTTGTTTATTTATTTGTTTGTTTTTGAGATAGAATCTCGCCCTGGGTAGAGTTCCGTGGTGTCACAGCTCATAGCAACTTTAAACTCCTGGGCTTAAGCAATTCTCTTGCCTCAGCCTCCCAAGTAGCTGGGACTACAGGTGCCTACCACAACACCCAGCTGTTTTTGGTTGTAGTTGTCATTGTTGTTTGGCAAGCCTAGGATGGATTCTAATCTGCCAGCTCTAGTGAATGTGGCTGGCGCCCTAGCTGGTGCTGAGCCACAAAAGCAGTTCTTAAAAATTGCCTGACAATCTAATGTTTATAAATAAGAAGGGACAGAGAAAGGAACTTCAAGAGGGATGGGAGGAAAGTTTGGCCTCCTAAATAAGGAAGTCTGGAGGGCCCACAGGAGCAGTCAGCAGAGAGGTCACCACTCAGCAATTCCAAAAGAAGGAAAAGAACTGTATACGAGGTACCCAGATAACCAACGACCACTAGGAAGGGACCATAATCAAGGACCAATAGAAAGGCTAATAATGTCTGGAGGCCCAGAGAGACCAAAGAAAGAGTTACAACCCATTCAAACGGAGACTCTGCTACACCTCCCCTGTGTGTTTCTCTCACCTCTTCTCGTTCATGTGAGGAACGCACTTCCAGCTCTGTTTGGAAGAGCTCTGAGCTTTCTCTCTGTTCTTTAATAAAACTTCTCTTTGCTTTACTGCAGCAGTGCGTGCGACTTGTGCTTCCTATTCTGGCTGCCTGTGTGGCTGCAGTTTTATTCTCTTCCCACTGTGCCTCAGGTGAACATTCTAGTTTTGCTAAGTAATCAAAACAGGTCAACTGGGTTTGGGGAACCAGACCCCGAACACCCAACAGTAAATAAAATAACTTTTGGACTGAACGTTTCTAAGATTCCTTTTAAGTTTAAAGAGCTCTAAAGTCGACATCAGAATTTAAGAAGTAGTACTGTGAACTTTAATTCCGACAGTCTCCACACCTGACACCCGCCTCTCCTGCCTCTATCCTGCAGTTGTACGGCTAACTCATAAGACAGTGACTTAAGCAATCTTAGTCTCTCACGTATGATTACTGTGACTTTTCTTTAAAAACTCACTTTTATTTGTATCATGTTTTACATGGTCGAATTTGCCTTGTAGCAGTGGCAGGGTTGCAACTCTCCCAGATGTTCTCCCATGGCCCCCACTTTGGCATTCACACAGTCCCCTTTGCACTGACTACAGTCTGGCCTGTGACTTGCAGAACCCACAGAATGCAGGGGGAGTGAGCAGAGCCAGTTCTAAGACTGGATGTTAAGAGGATTGAGAGCTTGTTTCCTCTTCTTGGGATGTTTGTTTTCAGGAATCCTAGTGAAAGAAAATTCACTACTCTGCTGCAGAGGTCATGTGAAGAGGTTCTCAGGTTATGTGGAGAGGGGGCAAGGTCCAGCTAGCTATCCCAGTGTCCTAGCCAAGTCTCCAGGTGACTCCAGTCCTACCTGCCATCATATTTCAATTACATGAAGGTTTCAAAAGGGACCATCAGAAGAACCATGTAGCCAAGCCCAGCAAAGTGAGACGATGAAATAGCTGGTTGTTTAAGTGCTTAGGCTTTGAGGCAGTTAGTAACGCAGCATTAGTTGACAGCATGTAGCACAAACTTGTTAACCATAAGACTCCAAATAATATTTCTTTTTGCCAAAGTGAATTGCCTTCCTCAAAATAATTCATGTATTAGTTTGAAGGATGGACAGAAAGCAAATTTCAGAGTGCTCAGTATCTGGGGAAGGGAATTCTTAGAAAAGCATTCTTATTCTTGATCAAAAAACGCATCATAACGTGGGATTCTTTCTGTCCTGGTCCTCACCAGTGCTCGTGGTCTCTTCTCATCTGTCCCCAACTCATCAGAGTCAGAGCTAGAGCCGTTCCAGGAAAGCTGTCCCCGGGCCTCTTGTTCACACAGCCATGTCTCCATTTTGCCAACTTTCTGGGGACAGTGGTCATTCACTGTGTGGTGTTCCAAAAATTCTGCATTCTGAGAATTTCCTACAAAAAAGGCAAAAGTTCGTTTAATTCAATTTTTTCCCTAAAAATTGTTTGCTTAGTAAATGTCCATTTTTTTTTAATAAACAGAATAATCTTCTTTGTGTATTTTTAAACTGTATACAGCATATAGTTTGAACATCTCCCTGGTCACTATGTATACTATGTAAGCCTCCCAAGCCAGAAACCACATCTATCTGCCTCATCACCATAGGATGAATGCCTGGCACCTGGCATGTGTTTATTAAGTATTTGCTGAGTGAGTAAATTAATATATGAGTGGACAAATGAGTGATCAGAGAATTTTGGAAGATGGGAAGTTGGGAGGAATTGAACCTGGAAAAGGCTTCATTCATCGGGGCTTGGGGTGTCAATCATCTCTGCAAATAAGCCAAGAACTATTAACAGCATCACTCAGATTGGGAAGAGGAATTTTCTAGAACATCCAGTTAGCAGAAGAAGCTTTGAAACAGGAAGAGAATGTTTACTAGTGGTGGGATCTAATGTTACATTAACGATGTTACAATAATTCAGGTCTAAAGTTAGTGTTTGAGATAAAATTCACACGTTCAGTTTTACCTTTGAAAATCTGTCCCTTGTCATTGAAAATTTGTCCCTTGTCATTCAGACAGCATTATATACATATTATACACATAGTATTAAAATTTGAGGACTTCCAAGCTAGATCTTTTATTATTTGTTACATTTTACTAAATCCCTGTTTAATTCTTTATAGTTTATAGACTTAAAAAAATAAGAACAAAACCTCAAAAAACCTAAATGGGGTTTGAATGAGTAGAGCAAAGTGTATCCTCTACTTTGAAAAAAAGCAACAGACCCCAGCAGGAGAAAACAGGAAGCAATTTAGGTCATAGGAAGATCCATAAAGCATGAAAAACGTTTGATGCTTGTGTATCTTATAGTATATATTTTAGAAAAATGTATCACTACCATATCAAACCCATAATTTCACAGTCATTTCACAGACAAAGGTATGCTTTAAAAAACAGAACAAAACAAGGTATTTTATAGAGAACTAGTGCAGGTGGCCAGATAAGACCAGAATTGTGAAGGTGAAATTTAAATGATGGATTTAGGGTGATAGTTCACTGAAACGTACAGTTTTTTTCACTATAAGACATCAATTTCATTCTTCAATTTGTCCATATTCCCTTACATTTCTATGCAGTTTACGTTTTATGTGTACTTTTACACATATTAGAATGATTTTTACATAAACCCTATGTATTGATGATCATTTGCTCTCATTTCACAGATGTGTAAACTGAAGTTCACAGAAGTTAAGTAACTAAGATTTCACTATAATCTCTGTCTACACAGATTATAGACAGAATATATAGAAAAATGTATAGTTAATATTTATCAAGAGGCTGCTACATGCTAGCAGGCACTATTCTAGAAGGAGGACAGGGGTCTGCTGTCACGGAGCTCACTGGAGGTGGATGCACTGCTGTGCTCTTTCTGCTCAGTGTACCCATCTCATGGCTTCTGGGCAGAGCAGGAGCCACATAAACACATTAAATGTTCACCAAAAGCTGTCTATGTCATATGATAGTCCATGTGATTCATCATACACATGTGTGCAAATATATGTTAAGGCATCAGTGATTTCCTTTTAAAGAGGCAGCAGGAAATACTGACTTTGTCTCACAAGAGCACTGAGGCTCTCCCTCACCTTCCCACAGGCGGACAGGAGTGGGTGAGGCAATTATCTCACAAGCGGAACTGCTCACACAAAGCCTTCATTTCTAGACCTGCCTGGCAGACTATTTAAGTCAGTAGATGCTCTTGGCTACACTCCACTTTTAGGAGAAAGCAGGGCAAATTACTTTCAGAAGACAGGGAAAGAAATCAGAGATGCTCTCTGGGAATAAGGGAAAAGGGATCCTAGCTAGAACCTGAGCCGCGTGTGGGGTCAAGCTGCTGCTGTGGAGTCAGGTGCCCTGTGTGTGCAGTGCTAAGCAGCTTCACCTCTTGCTGGTGGCTGTGACCTCGAGTGTGTGATGTGACCTCTGCATCTAGTCTCCTCCTGGGCTGCACAGTGAGTCACAGCACACAGCAGCAGGTGTCCGCCGCACACTGTGGCCTCGCCACCATCCAGTGCATCTCACTCCCCTTCCTTTCGACTGACCACGACATCAGTAATAGGCAAGAATTTCCTGTCTCATGCTGGCAAAACCTACCTTTCCTAGACTCATTCTGTCCTGTGTATAAACACACACACACACACACAGAGTCATGACACGTAAAAAGATTCTTTTTGAAGTGTTGAAAGAACTCTCAAGGGTTATCTAATCAATGAAAGTTTGACTAATCTGCAAAACCACTTGGGGGATTTTTAAAAAGTAGAATTCTTTCACCCCCAACCTAGAGACTGTGATTCAGTAGGATGAAGTTGGGAGCCCGGACTGGTTGTTTTTGGAAAGCTCCCCAGGTGGTTTTGCTGGTGACCTGGGCTAGTCACCACTGATACAGGGATACCTCCTGACTGGCGCTTGGACTGGCTCCCGCCTGAGTTACTCCTTCCCTCTCCCTCTCCTGCCTGTCACTTCCCTGAGCACGTGCACCCTGACGTCTGGCAGCTGCTCACACGTCCTCTCAGATGCACTGACCGCAGCCTACTCTTGGCAGGGGGAGACAAGCGACTTTCCAGGGCTGTGGTTGACCAAGACCCATTTCCTTGGTGTCCCGATGAGGCCACGTGAGAGGGTGAGTCAAAAAGACCTGCCTTGAACCCTGGCTCTGTCAGCCCGGGCAGACAGTAATCCTGCCGTCCAGGCTGTGTGAGGGTCACAGGAGCTGAAGCACGCTAAGGGCCAACCACAGGACCTGGTTTACAGGAAACACTCAGCAACCCTCAGCTCAAGCCAAATGAAGTAGCAGGAGAGCAAACCTTCTTCTCCATGTGGACAGACTGTCTTGGTTCCCTCCAAGCCTGGTGTGACTTCCATAGACCGCACTGATGCTGGCTTTCCTTGGCCTTCTCAAGAGGTGACTCCAACTGTCTAGCTTCAGCTGAAGCTCTTTTCAGGGTGGTTCTGCCCAAATATCTTAAAGGCATTTTTTAAATTGTGGAAGTTGTTTGTGTGACTACAAAGCATGTTTCATTCTGAGTCTTGGGAGGACAGGTTCAATGGAGGCCCAAGTAGGTTTTCAATTATTCAGCCCTTTCTTATTTAATCAGCTTATTGATTAAGTGTCTTGTTCTTCTGAGAAGGGACTGTGTCTCTTTCAGTGTCGATTTTGTATCTAAGAAGCCCCAGACCTCCAGAGGCTGAGCAGCGTTCCGGCAGCTCCTGGTAGCCAGTCCAGACAGCCTCTGTGTATGACCAAATTCATACCTTTGCAGTTGTCGGTTTGCTCCAGGGGGAAACTTTGTGGGGCCCCAACTGGTGGTGAATGGTGGCATGGCAGGGAGGACGTGGGTCTGAGAGGGCAGGGCAGTCTGGCCGGCTGGAGTGCAGGGCCAAAGCTGCAGCTGGGAGGTGGGCACCACAGGGTCTGGAAGGGCCAAGAGGCCCAAGGTTAGGGGTGTGGACTTCACCTCAGGCTGACAGGGGAACCACTGAGGGCTTTTTTTTTAAAAGCGGGAGAATGCCATGGGCAGATGTGTATTTTATAAGATTACTCCAGTGTGAGTTTAATTCTCCGTGAACTTCAGTGCACACAAACTTGCTGGGGATCTTGAGAAAACATAGGTCCTGATGCAGGGGGCCTGGGCTGGACCTCAGAGTAGGCTTCTCTAATAAGCTCCAGGTGGTGCCAATGCTGCTGGTCTATGAGGACTACTCTGATTCCCACGTAGAGTTAGGAAACACTGAAGGGTAAGTGTATTTTAAACTTCGGGGGTATTGGAATTACCTGGAGGGGTGGTTGAACCCAGATGGCTGGGCCTAACCCCTAGAGCAGTGATTTTCAGCTGGGGTGCCGAAGCATACTGGTGTGCTGTGAACATTTTATCATTAATTAAATTATTTTCAAAAGAAGTTCGAAGCACAGTAAGTATATTCTTTTTTTAAACTCTTTTTTTGATCAACATAATTTAAATGTGCTATGCAAGTTTAACTACAGGTTCAAGTGTGCTGTCAGATAGAAAAGGTAGGAAAACTATTTTAGAGCAGTGGTTCTCAATCTTCCTAATGCCTCCTAATGCCCTGAATCTTTAATACAGTTCCTCATGTTGTGGTGATCCCCAACCATAAATTTATTTTTGGTGCTACTTCATAACTATAATTTTGTTACTGTTATGAATTGTAATGTAAATATCTGATATGCAGGATGTATTTTCATTGTTACAAAAGGGTTGTGACCCACAGGTTGAGAACCCCTGCTTTAGAGTTTCTGATCCAGTTGCTCTGGCTGGGGCCCTAACAAGTTGCCCGGGGGTCTGCAGACCACACTGAGAGCCACCAGGTGGAGGGCTGCTGGATGGAGAGTCAGACCTAAAGGGGAGAGGCCCCCTCTGGAGCCTGTAGCTAGAGCCCTGATGTCGCAGGATGTGGGTGGGACTTACGGCAGTGCTGCCAGGAATGGAAGAGAGAGGGCAGGTTTCAGTGCTAGGTGATGTCAACAGAACTGGTGAGTGACCACCTGCAGGAAGGGACAGAAGGGCTGAAAAGCCCCAGGTCTTGTGCTGGAGCCACATGTGTGGAGGCCTCCCCCCTGTGATAGCTGACACAGCAGCTGGGGAAGCCTGGGGTGGCCAGTGGTGCTGGGCTTATTTTAGACCTTCCGAATGTGCCAAGGCATATTGGCCTGTGGAAGACAGGGCATGGCAGGGGAGGGAGGTCTGCACAGGACCCCTCCTGGCTGGCGCAGCTCTATGGTGTGACCCCAGGAGACCAAACACATCCTGTGTGTGCTTCATTCTCTAATCACAAGATGAGGTTATTTTACCTCGTATCCTTCTAAAGATGAGCCAAGGATTGCAATAATGCATAAGTAAAGCATATTAAACCCATAAAAAGAAAGAGACATTTTATGACCAAGTTTAAGCCTATGTCTTTTCCTCTCAGCCATCCAAAATTACAAGACAACGTGCCCCCTACGTTCTGGGAAATAAAATTCCAGCAGGAACCCAAGGCTATTGGTTGTCTTCTCAACACCCCTCCCACCCACCCTCAGAGTTTATTTGATGAAGTTTAAAAAACACTATAAAATTTTGAGTTTTTTTTTTTTTTTTTGAGACAGTGTCAGTCTGTTGCCCAGGCTAGAGTATTGTGGCATCAGCCTAGCTCAAAGCAACCTCAAACTCTCAGGCTCAAGTAATCCTCCTACCTCAGCCTCCTGAGTAGTTGGGACTACAGGTGCCTAACTAGTGTTTCTATTTTTAGTAGAGATGGAGGTCTTTCTCTTGCTCAGGCTGGTCTTCAACTCCAGAGTGCAAGGGGTCTTCCTGAAGCCTCCTGCTGGAATTAAAGGTATAAGCCCCTGGGCCCGGCCACTTGAAATACTTTACTAAACATTTATGTGACTCACCTGGATTTCTAGTCAAGGTTTCATTAAGCAACATGGTTAGAAGGTCATGGTCATTATTCCTTGGGATGCCTTCAAGGATTTTCTTGGCTTTATGGTCCCTCAGGTTTTGCTTATTAATTCTCATCTCCTTGGGAAGAGTTTTCTTCAACTCCATTTGGGCCTGAAAATAATCAGCTATAAATGATTAATGTTCTTCCCAAGCCAGCCTCACCAAAATTGATTAGTAGGTCAGCCACTTTGCAAGGTGTATGCTTATCTGCAGACGTCTGCAGTCCCCTAGCCAGAACATGGTTTTCTTTTTTCTATTAGAAAGTATGGAGATTTCCTTTGTTCACAGGCTTGTTAGAGGAAAGAGGAGTGTGCCCTAAATCTCACTATGGCTCAACTAAGATGAGGACCTTTATAAAAATGTTTTTAGCAGGCTTGCTGATATGTCTGGAATTGCAGAGGACAGTAACTGCAGGTTCATTTACTAGAGGGAGCAACTTGGAATATGATGTCTTTCTTATAACTTAATCTTAACTTGAATTATGGAGAGAGGCATAGGTATCTGAAAAAAGACCAATTCATCCACATCCCTTTTACTAAACCAATCCAAATGATCCAGGCCCGTTTTCCTATGTCCACAATGTCATAGGAGCAGTCTACTTTTTAAAAGGAATTCTTTAAGAGGACTGAAAACAGAGGAAAAACTCAGCAAGGCTGTGAGCAGAAGGGATCTTCCTGATTCTTTCCAACTTGAGTAGTTGAAACTTCAGCTCTACTGCATAAACTTAAAATGCTAAGTACAGGGTGGCTATGCATGTTTGACTATATTCACGTGCCAGGGCAATGATTATGCAATGTGAATTTGGTAGATGTGGTGCTCTCCTCGCCTCTCATGTTTACCTCTTGTCTTTTACGGTTCATTTCCAGCATTTTCATCTTATGCAAATATTGCCTTTTCCCAGAAGTATACATTGGAGTTTGCATTTTCTTTTCCAGTTCCTGATATGAAAGATGACACAACCATTAGTATGGGGTAGTTTGCCACTAACGCTGCAATCCACTACCTTAAATCCTTTTGGAACAGAGTGAGAGCTTAGTCAATCACTCATAATCCACAGAGAGCTCTGTGATGACAAAGGTGGACACTTCCACATCTCACTTTTGATAAGATGCCACTGTCCCCATTAACAGCTGCTTGTTACCATCTGATTTGATGTAATCGTACTATTTCTCTCGGCCTCTTTTGGCTGATTGGCTGGCTATGCAATGAGGAAGGAGTCATGAGGAGCTAAAGGGACCTATTTCCATACAGTGTGTCTCTATATGTCAACAGAAGTCTTGGAAAATGCCGCAGTGGAGGGAAAATGTGAAGTCGATTGTTTGTGACTCTGGTAGTCTCTGCTGGTCTGTCCCAAGCTCCAGTGGGGCAGAGCAGACAGGTATTGAGGGCAACCCCAGGTGATATGCCTTCGTTCGTCATTTGCTATTGCCAGGGAAGAGGAGGCATGTGTTCAGGGATGACTTCAGCTCTGCCCTATGGACTTGACTGCAGCCAAAGTGAACCTCGGCAGGGGCCATCTCCACAGCAGCTGTCAGCCCCCGAAAATGGCCTTTAGAACATTATAGTACTTGAACACCTTTTACCAAGTCAGCCAGCCACACAGAAGCATTGGGTTGGCTCCAAAGTGAATTTAGTGGTGGAAAGTATTGAAAATCCACTCTCACCACCATTACGGTTAGAAGGTAGGAACGAAAGGGAAGAGTCATGCTGGATTTTTCACAGATTAAAAATCTTCTAGAATCACCAGTTTCCAAGTACAATTTCTCTCATGTGCATTGCCCTGTTTTCATTATGAATCAGAAAAGAGCCCAGAGGTGAGAGCAATTGCCAACTAGAGGCAGGCATAGGAGAGAAGCCACGGCTAGGAAAAGTCCCGACTCTGAATCATCTTAATAGTTTGACTTGCCCTTGAGCTTTTCTGTGTGGTAAGTACATGAGAAGTTCCCTCACCCCAATCCCTGTGGTCCCTCACCCCAATCCCTGTAGCCCCTCACCCCAATCCCTATAGCCCCTTACCCCAATCCCTGTGGCCTGCTCACCCCAATCCCTGTGGCCCCTCACCCCAATTCCTATAGCCCCTTACCCCAATCCCTGTGGCCTGCTCACCCCAATCCCTGTGGCCCAATACCCTTCAGTTCCTGCCTCCACTCACCTGTGCTCTGTGCACCATCCCGGCTTCTCTCTGGCTCTGAAGCCTTTTGGAAGTAATTACTTGTGGCAAGTCCATGGGTTCAAGCTTCTAGAAGTTCAACATTTAGATCAGTCAGCATTCCTCATGCCATGAAAAGGTGAAACACAGTAAATCAGACATTAGACTTCAGAAAAGCAGCATGCAGTCCCGAGAGCACACAGGAAGGTGATCTCAGCAGTGCGGCAAATGAGCTGGTGCAAAGCTTTTCACCCTGTTCGGGTTCTTGTTGTTCTGTTGCACTGTTGCCAACAACTTACTGAGTTAAAAGACTAAGAATCCTTTACAGTCTGCACTGAGGAACTATGTCCAAAGTTACCAAATGGCCAGGGCCATAGAATATTAGTGATAAAAGAGGTACCAGAAAGTTACTCTATTTTACTCATCCCTTAGCCACCCAGGTGAACTTCTCCAGACCTTAGGGCAGTGTCCTGTTTGTGTGATCTCCAAAGCAGCTCCCTCAGTCTCCTCAGTGCCAGTCACCGTGATTATGAGACACAGGTAAGATGGAAGTACAGTGTGCTAACAAATCTCAGCGATGTCTTTCTTTCTCCAGCAGGGGCCTGGCTCTATGGGGGAGGTCATGCTGGAGACCCAATGGCTCACTGAGAGTGGGCAGCCATTCATGTGAACAGGTCTGCCTGAGGCCCTTCTTACATCATCTGTCGAAGGGAGTGAAAGAAGTTGGACAGATTCAGTTCCTAGTGAGGGAAAGAGCATCTCAGAATGAGCCTGGGGAGGTTAGGCAGGGGCCAGGTCACACAGGGCCTGATGGGCCATTCCAAAGGTGTTGGTCCCTCAAGGGCAGTGGGAAGCCGTTGACATATGGTGAGCAGAGGGGTGATGTAGACATGCTTGCTTTCAGAAAAATGATCACTCTGCTGCAGTGTGGGAACCATATTAGCAAGAAGCAATTATGGATGTGGGGGGATCAGTTAGAAGGACAAAGATGATGGAGTGGGATTGAGGAAGAGAAATTGATGGACTGCACAAATATCTGAATCTGACCAGATAAGGTTTGCATGGTTGGTAAGGGGACATGGAATGTCCAAGTGGCCAAATGACACCCCATCCAAGAGATGATGGTTTTTCATTCCTTGGGATGGCGAGTTGTAGGGGAAGACATGGTTTGGTGGAATATAGAAAGAAAATACAAATTTGGTTTTGAGCAGGTTGACTTTGAGAAACCTTTGGGACACACCAATGTAGATGTTGAGTAGACAATTAGTCATGTAGGCGTGAGGCTCAGAGGGGCAGGCTGTGCTGGGCCATGCAGGCATGGGGCTCAGAGGGGCAGCCTGTGCTGGGCCATGCAGGCACAGGGCTTGGAGGGGCAGTCTGTCCTGGAGATGTTTGAGAATCATCCCTGGGTACAGCATGAGCGAAGCCAAGATTGTAGACAAGGTCAAGAGTGAGAAGAGCAGGCTCAGCGCCTGTAGCACAGTAGTTATGGCACCGGCCCCATGCACCGAGGTTGGCGGGTTCAAATCTGGCCCAGGCCTGATAAACAACAATGACAACTGCAACAAAAAATAGCCAGGCTTTGTAGTCAGTGCCTGTAGTCCCAGCTACTTAGGAAGCTGAGGCAAGAGAATTACTTAAGCCCAAGAGTTTGAGGTTGTGAGCTGTGATGCCACTGCACTGTACCGAGGGCAACAGCTTGAGACTCTATCTCAAAAAAAAAAAAAAAGAGTGAGGGCAGTGCCTGTAGCTCAAAGGAGTAGAGTGCTGGCCCCATATGCCAGAGGTGGTGGGTTCAAACCCAGCCCTGGCCAAAAACTGCAACTGCAAAAAAAAAAAAAAAAAAAAAGAGTGAGCAGAGCAGAGCCAAGGACTGCAGACTCAAGAGGGTTGGTGGGGGCTGTGCACCACCAAGGAGACTGGGGCATGATGCCTTGAGAAGGAGGAGGAAAACTGGGAGAATTTCACACTGTGATCAACAATGTGAGCCCCACTCTCACCATAGTCTAATGCTGAAGGCAAATGCTAATTTATTTAAAAATTATTTTTCATTTTGGTGTGATTTATTACATCATTAAGGAGTTGACTTGGAAGCCAGCTTGGAGTTCAAGGTGACTAGGGTAAAAAGAGAGAACAGGACACGGAAAATGTGAAAATGTGTGCTGAGTGTCCAGCACATGTAGTGGGGACCTGGCCTCCCATGGGACTCCCCTATAGAGGCCTTTCCTGGCCCCTGAACCTGGCCCTGAGAAAGCAGCCAGCAGCCTTTTTTGCCCCAGCAGCCCAAAGTTGAACTGGCAAGGAAGACAAGGAGGGCAAAGGAGATGGAGGCAAGGAGGGGCAGTAGGGGAAGCCACATCTGCAGCCAGGTCATTCGCATTGGGGTAGGGAGTGCTTCTCTGGCCCCTTCTACCTCAAATGAGGAAATAAGTCTTTTAATATAATGTAGCAGAGACGTAATGAGATAAGATTAACAGTAGTAAGAGAAGTTGCTTGTTCCCTGGCTCTTAGCTGTACAGGGCATGAAGATGCAGGTAGAGGGGGCCGCTGGCATGGGAGGCAGTGGGGGGAGCACTGGCACGGGAGGCAGTAGGGGGGAGCACTGGCACGGGAGGCGGGGGAGGCACTGGCACGGGAGGTAGGGGAGGCACTGGCATGGAAGGTAGGGGTGGGGGCACTGGACCAGGAGGTGGGGGCGTGGGAGGCCACTAGCACAGGAGGCAGGGAGGTGGGAGCGACATTGGCATGGGAGGTAGCAGCTATTGCAGCCAGCAAGAAAAAGACTGGAAAGAAAGGGAAGGGAGACTGAGGGAGAGGGGACCCTCTGGACACCTCTGGGAGGAAGAATCAGCTATGACTGAAGGGGATTTCCGAGATGAGAAAGATGGAGAAAGTGATTGTCCACCCTCTGGACGAAGATTTGGTTCCAATTTGCCCATAGGATTTTGTAGCCATTGCTACCTATCATGCCCAAAGTTTTAAATGTGTCATCTCATTCGATCCTTATGTGACCCCTGTAGATAATCATGATGATTCCCCGTTTCAGAGAGGCCGATGGTTTGTCCAAAGCTGCACAGCTAGAAAGCGTCACCTCCGGGATTCAAGCTCCAGTTTGTCCAGTTCCAAATCCCATGCTCCTTTTCCCACTATTTATTCCCCCAAATGGTTTATCATCAGAATCTCCTGGAATTAGAAAAAAAAATTCTTGGAGATTGAGGTTCAGCAGGGTTGGGGTATGTCCTGGGGATAGATAGTTTTCACAGGTCTCCCAGGGACTACATCTAAAGAGACCATGAGAAACAGCCTGACAAAGCCAAGGTTTTTTAGCTATTTAAAATCATCTAACCATGATTTCTTAGGCTGGGTTTTTGTTTTCATAATATGAAAATATAATTAATCACAGATCCCTGTCTTCTATTCTCAGGCCATTTAAATATAGTACTTACAAGGGTTAAGTGTCTATCTTTAAGGACGCTCTTCAGGCAATTGCTTTTTCCTGGGCCTTTGAAAAGAACTCAAAGAATCACATTATTCCTTCACAAAAGCCACTAGATGGCAGCAACCCACATTGCAAACCCGATCTTGCTGTTAAATCATTTGTACTTGGTCTGAGAAGCACTGCAGAAAAAATGTTGGGAAAATTTGTCTTCAGCTAAATAAACCAAATGAAGTTGCCTCTGAATTCTGGGTTCATATGCACATTCCTTTTCTCTGCTTGCGAGGGAAGATGCCTCATTTCATCTTCAGAGAGAACACAGGCCACGGATTTACTAGAGGATCCACAGAATGAACCCAGTTTTTCATTTCATAATATTAAAAAATGTGTTGTCTAAAGACTTTTGGATTATTTGGTTTCTCAGACAAAATAAATGGTCAGAATAGTCAGTTGATGTGTCTTCTGACTAAATCAGCCATAGACCATAAGTTACTGAACTTGGTGAGAAACTCTGACCTGAGATGGTTATTTCTGTTTGCCAACAAGAAGAAAAAGATGGGCCAGAGCAACTCAACAAAACAGTAATATTTATCTGGCACCATGGCTTAAGAGGGTGTCTTTTAAGGTTCTGAAAAGCAGGGAAAGGTGTCCAGGACAGTCCTGGAGGGAGAAATTACACAGCCAAGGGATTATTGATAAGGCATTGTAATGGGTTCATATTTCAGTCATATTCTTTGCTCCAAACATCTAGCAATGGAAAATAAAACAAAAAACAAAAAGATATGGTCAGGCTTTAATATAAGGTAAACATCTCTAGAAAACAGAACAGAAATGAAAATATTTGAAGGAAGCTTATTCATGAGGCACTTAGGGCTCCTGACGGCTAGAAGTTATTTCTGCTCATTATTTCTGGGTCCTAATAATGCTCCACATGGGAGACTAGAGCCAGGCTCATAGCTTGAAGTCAGGGGCTGAGTTGTTTTCCACCCCTCTGCCTAGTATAAAAAAAGATGCATTCAAATATGACCTTAATAATCTGTTATTATTAATAAGCATTATGAGAAAGCTGAGTGTAAAGAAGATAAGACTTTATAACAAAGAATTGAAAAATTCAGATAAGTAGATAATTCCCTGGGAAGATATATATTAGTAAGAAGAAATAAGATACCTAAATTAACTAACAACCATAAAAAATTTTAGTTAGCGGGAAAATTTCTCACTGTCCTTAAAAGTCTGGATAGCCAAGAACGTTTTTACCAAACTGTTGAGAAACAGATAAGACCTGTGTTACTGTGAAAAGAGGGAAAGGTAATCAAAATTCACACAACCTTCGTGGCAAAACTGGAAAAAACAGTATGGGAAAGTTACAGCTCTACTTTGCTTATTAAAATAGATACAAAAAGCCTTAGCAAATTAAATTCAGTCATGTATTTATGTTCTTATCTCATGACCAAGTATGATTTAGCGCAGGAATGCAGATATGGTTCAACATCCTAAAATCTATTAGTGTAATACATTGTTTCAACTGGTTAAAAAGAAAATCTATGTGATTATTTTAATGGATGAAGAAAAAAAAGCAATAAAATTTACCACTCAGCCTGGAGAAAACTCTTAGCCCCACGGAATGAAGGGAGTATCTACATAGAGGCCTTGG